TTGACCTATTAACTGTAGAATATCACTTTTGGTGCAGTGGTGTTGGTTGAATGATCATCTGAAAACCAGGTATCAGTGGCAGTAGAGAGGAGAATCATGTATATGTGGGAAGTAAGTATGAGTTAACTGGAGAACATCTTTACAGTACTATAGAGAATGTATCTCCGTATTTGTTGGAGTGGGCAGTAGGGTGGCTGGATTGAAGGTGTTGCTGTTTGAGACTGTGATAATGGGAGTTTTATTAAATTTAGTTTTTTGTAGCTATGATAGGATCATTAGAGCTTGAAGTGTCTTGGGAGAAATTAGATTGACTCAATAGTGTGAATAGACTGTGACTGTCTGCCCTAATTTAACTTTTGCCTTCTTGTGTCAGGATGGCTGTTGATGCTATTGCCTGAAGTCAGGAAGGCCGTCCTCTAACAGTACATCTAAATGTTTTGAGGGGTAGGATATTGACTGGAATGAGGTTCTTTATTGTGTCCCAGTACTACCACTGCATAATCTTTTTCTGATTTAGTGGACAGAATAAAAAGAATATGAGGATTAGGAAGTGTAAGTGTAGGCTATCTAAGGAGAGCCTTTTAAGCTTTTGAAGGGAGTACTAATTATGATGGGGGGGTTGGAAGTAGGCCTTTTATATGCCTGGTATAGTGGTATGGGCAAGCAAAGTTGGCAATCCATAGGCAAAAATGTTTGATAGACCTAAGAATAGCTTTCATTGTTTGGTGACTCAAGTGTATACATCATGAAGGAGAGTCTTATGCTTATAGGTTATGGACCGTGTGATGAGAGTCAGCATGGAGCCTAAATGTTTGACATTTGGTGGTGTGATTTGAGCTTTGGAGCAAGAGAGCTTATATATTTCACTACAGAGAAAGTTGAGTAAAACAGCTGTGTGTTGTGTTGTGGCACAGGAAGAGGAGCAGAGATGAAGGTCATCTATGTATTAAATGAGTACATTAGGTTGTACATTTATGCTTTCAAGATCATTTTCTAAGGCTTGGGTAAAGAAGTGAAGGCTATTCAAAGATCCAATCCAAAAATGGGCATCTGACATGAATACACAATTCTCAGATAAAGAAATACAAATGGCAAATAAATACATGAATAAATGTTCATCATTATTAGCCATTAGGGAAATGAAAAATTCAAACCACACTGAGATTCCATCTCACTCCTGAAAGAATGGCCAGGATCAAGAAAACTACCAATAACAAATGCTGGAGAGGCTGTGGGGAAAAAGGAACTTTCCTGCACTGTTGGGAGTGTATACTGTGTATACTGGTGCAACCATTACAGAGATCAGTTTGGAGATTTCTGAAAAAGCTGGGATTGAAAGTCCCATTTGTTGCACCTATTCCATTTCTAGGCATATTCCCAGAAGAACTGAAAACATCATACCATTGTGATATATGTGCACCTATGTTTATGCCAGTACAATTTGTAAGAGCCAGATCTTGGAAACAACCGAAGTGTCCATCACCTGAGGAATGGATAAAAAAGATGTGATTTTTTATACAATGGAGTACTTCTCAGCTATAAAGAATGATCACATTAAGATATTTATAAATAAATGGGCACAGCTTGATACCATACTCATAAGTGAAATAAATCAAACGCACATGTATAAATGCTGAGGAGTTTCCCTAGTATAAGAAATAGTAAGAATACATAAAAATATGTGTAATCATGACTCTCCATTATATTGCTTTGAAGCCTTATAATTTTTTCATATATTAGTTGGAATGGTTTTATTCTGGGTTTACCTCTAAGCAAGGTAAACAATTAATCAGGGTGGAAATGTACACAATCAACCGCAGAAAGAAAAAATGTGATAAGTAAACTAATCTGTATCAGTTATAACCATTAACGTAAATGGCCTAAATTCACCAATTGAAAGATACAGACTGGCAGAATGGATCATGAATCAACATCCAACCATACGCTGCATAAAGGAAATCCATCTAACCCAAAAGGAAGCTCATAGACTGAAAGAAATGGACAGATTACTAGAAACATATGAAATACCAAAGCTGACTCAACAAGAAGTAAAACTTCTGAATAACCCAATTTCAATTAATGATATTGAAAATGTAATTAAATCTTTACCAAAAAAGAAAAGCCTAGTTACACAGACATTCACTGTGGAATTCTACAAGCAATCCAAAGATTTAATGCCCATAACCTTGAAACTCTTCAATGACACTGAAAGGGAAGCAATGTTCCCTAACTCATTCCTGGAAGAAAACATTATTCTAATTATAAAACCTATGAAAGATCCAAACAAAAAAGAGAACTACAGACCAATTTCCCTAATGAACATAGATGCAAAAATGCTCATTAAAGTTGGCTAAAAGAAGGCAGTAAATCAACAAGAATATTATAAACCATGACCAAGTGAGATTCATCCCAGGAATGAAGGAATGGTTCAACATATTCAAATCAAAAAATCTAATCCACCATATCAACAGAGTCAAACATAATAACTACATAATAATTTCTACAGATGGAGAAAAAGCTTTTGATATGGTCCAAAACTTATTTATGATAAAACCTTACAGAAAGATGGAATATAGTCTTTACCTCAATATGATAAAAGCCATATATGACAACTCAACAGCCAGCATCGTATTACATGGCTAGATATTAAAAGCCTTTATCCTAACATCATGAACAAGTCAAGGATGTCCATTAACACCACTGCTATTCCATATAGTGCTGTTTATACCAGTGAGAGCAATTAGACAGGAGAGAGAAATAAAAGGACTAAGGATATTAACAGAAGAAGTTAACTTATCACTATTTGTAGATGACATGACAGAAGACCCCTAAAACTCCATTCAAAAATTCCTAGGTATAATAAATAAATTCAGTAATGTAGCTGGATAAAAAGTAAACAATCAAAAATCAATAGCATTTCCATACACTAACAACAAACCAACAGAGAGAGAAATAAGAGAAGCCACACCCTTTATAATAGCATCCAACAAAAAATGAAATAGGGAAAAGACCTATTCAGGAAAATTATCATACCCTGGAAAAAGAAATCAAAAAGGACCTCCAAAAATGGAAAGAAATTCCTGTTCATGGGTAGGAAGAATAGACATTGTGAAAATGTCCATTCTCCAAAAATTATTACACAGACTTAATGCAATTCTAATCAAAATTCCACTAGTATACTGCAGAGATCTACAGAAATCACTCCTAAACTTCATCTGGAACCAGATGAGAACTAAACAAGCTAAGACATTTCTAAGCAACAAAGACAAGGCAGGAGACATCACAATCCCTGACCTGAAATTATACTACAAAGGTACTGTAATAAAATCAGTACGGTACTAGAATAAAAAGCCCTGAAGATCAATGGAATAGAGTAGAAGATACAACTACAATAACATTCATATTCAGCCACATTATCTTTGATAAAGGGGCCAAACATATCCACTGGAAGATAGACTCTTTAATAAATGTTGATGGAAAATGGGCTCTCCATATGAGTAAAACTAAAATTAGAACCATGCCTATCACCGTGTACTAAAGTCAAAATGGATCAAAGATCTAAATATTAAAACAGATACATTAAATTTGTTGGAAGACAAATTAGGTAGAAATCTTAAAGACACAGGGATATGTAGTGAATTCATAAACAAGAATCAAACTGCACACAGAATACCTCACAAAATCATTAATGGGGATTTCATACTGAAAGAAATCTCCACATGGCCAAAAGAAAACCCACAAAATGGAAAACAATCCTAGTGAATGATCCCTCAGACAAAGGACTTCTGTCTAGAACATATAAAGAATTTTTAAAAAATGAGATCCCCAAAATTCAAAGACCCGTTCCAAAAATGGGCATCTGAAATGAATACACAGTTCTCAGATGAAGAAATTCAAATGACAAATTAATACATAAGAAATGTCAAGCATCACTGTTCCTTAAAAAACACAAAGGTTCCATCTCACTGCAGAAAGAATGGCCAGGATTAAGAAAACTACGAACAAAAACTGCTGGAGAGGTTGAGTGTAAAAAGGAACTCCTCTGCACTGTTTTTGGGAGTGTACAGTGGTGCAACTACTGTGGAGGTCAGTTTGGAGGTTCCTCAAAAACTTGGGTTAGGAAGTCCCATTTGACCCAGCTCTCCCACTTCTGGGCATATTCCCAGAACAACTGACAACATTATACCACAATTGTATATGTGCATCCAAGTTTATAGCAACACAATTTGTAATAGCCACGTCTTGGAAACAATCTAAATGCCCATCAACTGAGGAATGGATTAATGATGTGAAATTTTATAAAATGGAGTACTACTCTGCTATAAAGAATGATAACATTGAAAAGTTCATAAGTAAACAGATGCAAGTAGAGGCCATACTCATAAGAGAAATAAATCAAAGTCACATATCTAAATACCTTAGTCTCCCTAGTGTAAGAAATGTTAAGAGTATATAAAATACAAAAATCGGAATGATCACAATGAAAGGAAAACAATATGCTTAAAGGGGAAAATAATGAAAAAGTAAAGAGAAACACTTACGATAGCTTACATGACTGCGCTGCAAACACCATAAGTTCTTGGAACAAAATAGTTAACATTCATAGGAATTGGAGATTTGTACATATTATTGTATAGCTATCTAAGGAACTCTTGAAGATCATCATGTTAAATAAAAACCCTAGTTTTGCCCATAACACCTTGTTTTTAAGGCCTATACTTGTCAGTGTTCTGGGCTCTTTCCTATTGTTTATATGTCTTTTTCATTTCATGTTATTTTGTGAATTTGTTTTGTAGTGTCTGGGTTTGTTTTGCTTTCCCTGTAATACAGAAAAGATAGGTATATGTGTAGAGACTCATGCGTACATACAACTTCTAAAAACCTGATGAAAATCGTTAATATAATGCACGATGAAATGAAAGAGCTACTTTGAAGAGACACTAAGATACCCAGTGCTGATTCTATAGCATCATGATGTGAAATCCAGGAATACTATTACCTTTTGTTCAGACTGATTTTATTCTGTTTTATTTCATTTAATTTCAACATACATGAAAGTATGAACATCTATTTTGAAAAGAATGAGAGACATTATCGCAGCCATTATTGACTTCCTGATTTTTTGGTCTTGAAGACCTAAAATACTTTCATCATCGGGTTCTGATCCGTTTCATACTATTTTGTTTTGTATGAGTTCATTCTATGTGAAAATCTGGACAAATATTTGGAAGAATATAAGAGACAATATTATAGACAGTGAAGATCTCCAGTTGTCCTGCTTTGGAATCTGTGTTTCTTACATTGTTACTTTGTGATCTGTTCTTTCTGTTTAATTTTACCCTCTTTAAAAATTAAAAAAAAAAAAAAAAAAAAAAAAAAAAAAAACTAGATGATTAACCTTAACAATCGATGAAAAATATCATCATAGTAATGTATCCTAAAATGGTCAAGAACACAGGATAAATAAAAATTTCAGACATTTCTGTTTTTAATAAGTTGATTGATGTATGTGAGGAGTTTCATTTTTCTTGGTGCCAGTATTTTAGCTTCCTATGTAAAAACAATAATTACCAAAAATATTTTGGCATCAGTGCATTAGGGAATAGAATAAAGGCATTAATCTCATAATATTCAGTAGTGACCATGCTCCTGAGAAAAGTTCCACAGATGATGAGCATTCCATTCAAAGTGTTGTTATGGTTGATATAACATAATATACATATTCTGGACAGATGACTGTAAATAATGATTTCCTATAAAGACAAGTTATGGTCATGTGGTGAAATGGGACATTGAGATGAATCTTGCTAAAGTTCCCCCCTCTTCCCCTGTAGCTATATGTTGCTGTTTTGCTAGAGGTAAGATTTACAACTATGTACCGTGAAGAATTTGTGTCATCTTGTTCTTACAGGATTCATAAGTTCTGTCTCATTTCAACGTTGTTATAAACTTCTCTGATTGTTTCCATGTCCTTGATTGCCCCAGTCAGTTTTCAAAGTCCAATACCTTAGTTCTGATATCTTGAATTCTCCAACAGTGGGGTTCTGGCAATGAAAAATACTGAGCAGTATGGTTTATGTTTGGTATCTATGTTTAAGAAACTACCAGTGAAACAAATTAAGCCATTGCAATGTAAACAGAAGATTTACAAGAAAAAATAAAACTTCATGGAAATGAATGCATTGAAATAAAAGTACGCAATATATGTACATGATGCAGTATACAGTACTGATGGTATACAAGCAGGAACCCTGTCATATAAAAAACAAAATTTGCTAATCTACAAGTTGTGTGAACATGACTAACTGTGTCAAAAACTCACGTTGACAAATCTTTGAAAATAGATATCAATAGAAAATATAGCATCAAATTAAAAATATCATTTTTTACATAGAATATAGAAAACCCACACAGTAATTGAAAAGCAAAATAGTGCAAAACTCTAATAGCAAAAGTTACAAAATTAAGATATTTAATAGCCTATTCTTCCCAAACTTGAGGATAAAATGAAAACAGCACAAATTCTAATGGTACTTGAAAGGAAAAAAATAGTTTCATCAACCATGCTTAATTAAGACATTATGGATTAAGCACAGACACTCAGATAAAAATTCCTCATTGTGGCAACTCAATATTTTTAAACACTGTACATTAATAATGTACATATGTGATGCATTATAAACCACATAATGTATGTATTTGTTCCAAATAAATCACCTGGAATTTGATTTATTTGGAACATATCTAAGGCAACACTGACATAAAATACTATGGTATTATTTCTACAGAATTTCACCAACTGAAACATCTTAACAGGGTTTTAAAATAGTCTTACACATATAGTTTCTTCCTAGTGATCCTTTTGGATTTGATATAAAATATATATGGTAATGGACTTGTGTGCACTGAATCTTTTTCCACATTGTTTATGGACATAGGGTTTCTCCCTAATGAGTTTTAATGTCTGTTTAATGAAAAAATCATTTTCTACACTGCTTGCATACATAGGGTTTTTACACTGTGGCTTATTTCATTTATTTTACAATAATTATGTGTACTGAAAGACTTAAAAAATTGCACACGTGTAGTTTCTTTTCGTTTTGAGGTTTTTTTTGTGTCTCTGACAATGACTCTTTCTGCTGAAACCTTCCCCACATTCCTTACATACATAGGATTTCTCTGCAGTATGAATTCTTTCATATTAATATTTATGTGTGATCAATGGTTTTCCACACTGCTTACATATATAATCTTTCTCTCCAGTATAACATCTTTCATGTAGTTTACAATTTCTGTGTACTGAAAGCTTTCCCACATTGCTTACATACATAAAGTTTCTCTCTAGTGTGAGATCTTTCATGTAGTTTACAATAACCCTGTACTGAAAACTTTTCCATATTGCTTACATACATAAGCTTTCTCACCAGTGAGATCTTTCATGTAGTTTACAATACTCCTGTGTATGAAAGCTTTGCCTCAATGCTTATGTATATAAGGTTTGTCACCAGTGTGTGTTCTTTCATGTCTTTTACAACTCTTCTGTCTATTGAAAGCTTTCCCACATTGATTACATACATATGGTTTCTCTCCAGTGTGAGATATTTCATGTAGTTTACAACACCCCTGTGTACTGAAAGCTTTCCCACATTGCTTACATACATAAGGTTTCTCACCAGTGTGACATATGTCATGTGCTTTACAATTTGACTTTGTAGTGAAAGCTTTCCCACATTGCTTACATACATAAGGTTTCTCTCCAGTGTGAGAGATTTCATGTACTTTACAATACGCCTGTGTACTGAAAGCTTTTCCACATTGCTTACATACATAAGGTTTCTTTTCAGTGTGAGATCTTTCATGTAGTTTACAATACCACTGTGTACTGAAAGCTTTTCCACACTGCTTACATACATATGCTTTATCACCAGTGTGAGATGTTTCATGTCTTTTATAACTACTGTGTGTACTGAAAGCTTTCCCACATTGCTTACATACATAAGGTTTCTCACCAGTGTGACATCTGTCATGTACTTTAAAACTTGCCTGTGTAGTGAAAGCTTTCCCACATTGCTTACATACATAAGGTTTCTCTCCAGTGTGAGTTCTTTCATGTAGTTTACAATTACTCTGTTTGCTGAAAGCTTTCCCACATTGCATACATACATAAGGTTTCTCACCAGTGTGACATCTGTTATGTACTTTAAAATTTGCCTGTGTAGTGAAAGCTTTCCCACATTGCTTACATACATAAGATTTCTTGCATACATAAGGTCTCCCACCAGTGTGAGTTATTTCATGTCTTTTACAACTGCTCTTTATACTGAAAGCTTTTCCACATTGCTTACATATATAAGGATTCTCACCAGTATGAGATCTTTCGTGTAGTTTACAATAATACTGTGTAGTGAAAGCTTTCCCACATTGCTTACATATATATGGATTCGCACCAGTGTGAGTTCTTTCATGCTTTTGATAATAACAACTTTTCCTGAACCCTTTCCCACATTGCTTACATACATACTTTTTCTCCTCTATCTCAATTCTTTCCTGTTGTTGAGAAATAGTATGTGTGCTGACAGCTTTCCCATATTGCTTACATGCAGAGGGTGCACCCCAACTGTGATTTGTCTGATAGATCTGAACATCACTGGGCCTCCTGGAGGCATTCATAATTTTTGGACATGCAAATATCTTGTCTCTAAGATGAGTTCTTTCACTAAGACCAGAGGAGGATTTCTCACACTGATCATGTTCACGTGGTTTCTTGCCAGCTTCTGTTCTTGCAGGATTCTGAAAGGACTGCAAATCATCACAGTATTTTCTACTTTCATTACATTTAAACAGCTTCCCTTTGAGTTCAAAATATTCATCTGTCTTTACTGAGGTGTGAGCTATGATGGGCATGTTTAGTGAAAAAGGCCCAATCAAAAGCTTTCTGCAAGTAAGACTTTCAATTGGTTTTAAACCACATGGTTTCATATGCACATTAGCATCGTGAGAGCAAAGAAAGCATTCTTTGTGCTGATTCCAACCTTTATATAGATGGTATTTCTCAACATCTTCATTTCTGTAAAAATAAAAAAAAAAACAAATAAAACACCTCTCCATATCAATGACTTAATAGAGATTAATTGATGCCTGCTAAGAATTTTGATAATGAATTAAAAGAATACATATGAGGGATCTTTTGAGAAAGCTTTTCCCTAAAGACTGTTATATTTTTGGAAATTTTTCAGTTGGTATATTTTATAAGAGTAATTTTAGTTTTATTTTGAGTTACATATATATGCATAACACATGTTGATTAATTTTAACACCATTTCCTATTTACTCTTTCTGTTCTACTTTTATCCCATTTGTCTTTCCCATCTCTAAAATATCACTTTCCTTTATCCATTACCTCTCATTCACAGCTACACAAAACACCTAATAACAACGTCATACATGTTCATGATGTTGACAATAAAGCAACATTTTTTTGTATTACACGTGAGATAGTGTCACTTGTATGATTTTACTTATAAATCCATTTCTTATGTTGGAATATTTTTGTGTTTACTTTTCAGACTATACATACTCAAGCTGCATATAGTTTTGGAGAGTATTTGTGAAATTAAAGAAATTTAAAAATGGTGTTGGTTTTTTTTTTATTTTAGTCCTTTTCCTTATGTAGTGTCTTAAGGCTTATACATTTTTCTTAAAAGGACAAATTACCTTAGATTTCTACAGAGGTTACTGCACTCTTCTTCCACTTTCTGGTTACCCAAGAGTCTTCCTGAATTACAGACACAGAAGTATAAGTGGTCACTACATTATTACATAAAAATTAACACATGCCAATTAGATTCATGATATAATATAAGCAGGCCAAATTAATTTTTCTAATTGTTTTCACATTCTATTTAATGAAACTGCACTGAAGAGCAAAAAGCCATCTCCTCTAAGTGTATCAATAAGAACGAGATTTCATTCTTACCTATAGTCATGATGCTCTGAAAGGTTTCCTCCATCACATCTCTGTAGAGCTGCTTTTGGGATGCACTCAGCAAAGTCCACTCCGCACTGGTGAAGGTCACAGTCACATCCTCAAACGTCACTGATTCCTAGAGGATCATACATATATTTGAGCAAAGTGTGGTGATACATGTCTGTAATCCCAGCACTCAGGAGGCTGAGGCAAAAAGACAGTCATGACTACAAAACCATTGTGAGCTACAGAGTGAGTTCAACATCTGCATGATTTACATTGTGAGACTCTGACTGAAAAGAAATGAAACAGAGTAACAAAAAAAAGCTGCTTCATGGTTGCTTTTTGACAAAAAGGAGTGTATATAACTGCAGTTTGTGCAGTTATCATAGTGTTAGATTCTGCACTCCAGTAAAAGCTATACAACACACAACTTATCTCTAATTCAGATACTTATTGAGAGAAAGAAGCCAGCAAGCATGCCTTTCAAAATGGTCACTGCATATTCCCAACAGTAAAAATTACAAGATTTTGGACACAAAATGTATAATATATTATGCTGAATTTAACTGAGCAATATTATGATCATATATTTTTATACACAACAGGCATTTTTCATAGGGAAATTTCTTGCTCAGAAAATGTTATTGCCTGTCACCACCATCCACTGCTTTCCCATGCTGTATGTACTTTCACGTGCTCTTCTAATAACAGAACACCATTCTCCACTTAATTACTGATATGTCTGCAGACCTACAAGTGGCTCTTTTCACCTGCTTTTATACTGCTTCTACACTTTGTCCTACCTCATTCAGTGTGTCAGGTTTTTATTTTTGAATCAGGTTTTTCCCTTATACATAAGACTGGGCTTGAACTGATTGTGTAGCCCAGGGTGAAACTGAACATCCAAGAATCCTCTGATATCAACCTCCTGAGTACTAGCAATACACTCATCTGGCACCACACCCAGCTAGAATTTTCATTTTTTGAAATAATATCTACAAATCATTCATGCACCATCGCAATTATGCGAGAGAACTTGCTTTTTCTACCTTTCCATGCATACACAAAGCATATGCAGATGCCCTACCTCAAGGAGATTCAGTTTGTATTTATATTAACCCCTAATGCTTTTGACATTTTTTTCACCCTTCTTTTTTCCAGTGAAAACATTACTCCAGAAGAGATCGGGCGTGTTCAGGGTGGTATGGCCGTAGAGGGAAAAATTTAAAAAATTAGGATATATAATAGTAACTCTTTTCGATCTCCTATTAACTTGTTTTGAAGTCCTGTAATACTCCCACGATCTTGTTTTGACTGATTAGACTCTGTTCCATTCTGTGCGATAGTAGCAAGTCTGAGGGTATAGGCAACTAATTTGAAGGCAATAAGATTCACAAAGATGCCCATTCTGGTTTGACTATTGTCTCCTTTGGAAGTCCTGTAATGTTCACAATGCCTAAGTTTTATTGGTCTTGTTCTCCACTGTTTTGTCCAACTTTATAATATCTAATGAGATAGACAATTCCTTTTAAGGAAACAAGAGACAATGTTGATAACCATTGTTAATAACCTTGTACTCTGTTCTACATCATGTGCTATGTCTATCCTTGGTTTTGACTGAGAGCTTTGTTTTGCCATATTTGACTTTATTCTCTCCCCCCCCAAAAAAGTAATAAGAACTAAGGAGTAATAAAATCCAAAATGTGTAAATTTTGTTGTAAAAAAGAGAGGGGAAAAAAGAGCTCTAACGGATGTAACAGCAAGTGTGTTTAGGGGTGTTAAATAGCTGACTATATTAATGTTTTTGGATCATTGAACACAGCTGTTTGCAGTCTCTCTGTTTGAATGTCCACTTTGTAATCTTTGATACTGTGATTTGAGCAACTATTTCTAAGATGATAATATGTAATCTATTAACAGGTGATTTCTTACTTTTTTTTTATAGTTCTGTATTACATGTACCCTTACACCACTTTGTTTTGTTTTGTGTTTTTCTCTTTTTCCTTTTAAAGAAAATTAAAAAAAAAAAAAAAGCAAATAGCCTTGCTTCAGAGAAATTGTACACAACATAGGAAGAGCCAGGGACCCTACTACTCACTTTTACAGAAGAAACCAGGAACATGAGAAAAGGAAGAAACAAAAGGCAGTCTCTGGCCTCCCACCGAAGCAGTACTGGTCAAGGAGATGTAAACACAGAAGAGACAGGGAGTAACACTCCTGAAGTTTCTGAAGTAGCAATAACTGAATAAACAATCAACTTCAAGAGACTAAAAAATAAATTAGAACAGAAATACTATCACAAGGAAAGAAGAAATGAGAAATGTAATAAGAAATACTAAACACATCTAAAGAAGACACAGATGCAAGAGTAGAGGAGAATAGGAAAATGAGGGAAAACTTCAATGAAGAATAAAAAAAAAGACAGGATACATGAAACAGATTCAAAGAGATAATCAGAAAATTAAAAGTTGGCAAATTGCCTGAAAGTAACTAAAAATAGACTATCAAACCCTGAAGACAGATTTTCAGCTTGTAATCTTGAAAGGAAAGATCTTTTCAAAATAACAAAGAATCAGGAAGTAGCAATACAAAGGCTACAGGATGACACAAAGATGTATAATTTAAGAAAAAATGTGAAGGAAAATGCAGGTGTGCACACAAATGAAATACAAATCCTTTTTACACCAATAATTAAAGGAAACTACTCAAGTATAGGAAAAGGAAATGATATTCAAATAAGTGAGACATACAAAACTCCAGCAAACTATAACCTAAAGAAATCTATACCCAGATATACAATAATCAAGATTCCAGAAATTCAACACAAGAACACAATATTAAAAGCCATCAGAAAAAAAGAAACAGATCATATAAAAAGGAAAACCCGTAGGAATTATGATAGACTTCTCAACACATACCATCAAATCAAGAAGACCTGGGAATAAAGTATTCTAAGTCCTGAAAGAAAATAATGTCCAACCCAGGTGGATGTACCCTGCAAAATTATCTTTCAAAATTAATGGAGAAACAAGATACTCCCACAACAAAGAATAACTAAAAGAATTCATGACCAACAAACCAATCCTACAAAAAATAATGAAGGACATTCATTCTAGAGAGAGAAAAAATAGGCCAGGAATTCAGGAACAGTGATGAGTGTACTCACTGAATGGACAGACAGTGGAATATATGGAAAAAGTAGACAACCATTGGCAGAAAAACAGCATGCCAGAGATGAGGCAAAAAAGGTTGCCCTTAATTACTAATATAGATGGCCTCAATTCACCAATAAAAACAAACCCAGGCATAGCAGATCTGGAGACATGACACATCAATGTGCTTTATATAAGAAATACACTTACCAAAAAAGGGAGTTTTAGACTGAAAGTTTAAGATGACAAATGTTTATACAATGTAAAACTATTCAGCCATAAAGAAAGATAACCTTGTGGCTCTTGTAAGTAAATGGATACAACTTGGGATCATGATCAGTGGTAAAAAGTTTTGTAATCACTTAGGTAAATAGTAGGTTACATCCCTCATACAAAAATTAAAGGTGTTAGTGGAATCCAAAATGAATAATACACCCTGTGAAATTGGAAGGGAAGGAATTGTCTAAAAATGGAAGGCAGTATTCACTGTTAATCCAGTATCATGATCTGAAACATATTGTTTTCATTGCTCAGTTTAATTTGGTTTTATTTTGTTTCAGTTTGCTACTTTTATTAGATTTGATAGCATGGATAGCTGTTCCATAGATAGCGGGATAGATTATGATAACCATTTTTGATTTCTTATCAGCTTCATTTGAAAACCTGCATTGCTTTCATTGTTTTGCGTTGATTGATTTTACTCTATTCTGTTTTATTTGATAGTACCAAGCATAGGCAACTACTTTGAAGACAAGATACACTATGATACCATCTTTATTTGACTATCTTCTTTGAAGTCCTATAATGTCTCCTTTGTTTTGTTTTAATTGGTTTTGTTCTGTATTGTTTTGTTTGATTTATTATGCTTGATGATACAGGCAATTCTTCAAAAGACAAAAAGAGGCATTACAGTAGCCATTATAGATCAGCTTGTTTTTCATTTTAAAGTCATGTACTATGTCCATTCTATTATTTTGATTGACCCTATTTTATTTTGTCTCATTTCCTTTTATTCTCTTCAAAAGAAAAAATGAAGAATTTTCAGTCCATAGCTTGCTAAATCCAAGGAATGGTGGCTGGATAGAAGGGAATGGAAAACAGGATACTTGTGCATGGCATGGCACAGGAAAGGAAAAGGTCATCAAAGGAGCAGGAGAGATATATGTACACTCATATAGTTCATATCCACAGTGAATCACCTCTTTCTGTTACCTCCTAAAATCATACACAGCTATGGAATAATCAAAGATCATATATCCATGACATCCAAGATTTGGTCACCTCCCAAAATTCCCATCTGTGAGTGCATGGGATTTTCATAGAACAGCTATATGCCAGTATAAAGACACAATACAATCATGATTACAAGTGCAAGGGCACAGACTTTAACACAGGGAATGCAAAGTTAAAGACAGTGGGCTGAATCCATAACCATCAATATGGTTGACTGTATGAAAACGTGCAGAATATGCAATTAGTGTATGCCACACATGTGACACAGTTGTAAGAGTAGAGCAGGTTATATTATCACACTGAACACAATTTCTGAGGTACAAAAACTATACAGTAGGCACAAAATGTGTGTAGCATACATTTACTCTACACAGTGCTTTCATTAGCAGTGTGAACATGAACATCAGCAAGTGTAGCACCAGGAACACTGGCTGGAGCTGCCACAAGAAAGCCAAAGAAAATTAACTGTGGTTGGGTATAGTATGTCTAAACAAGTGTGACTGTGGTGGTTGCTGAGATCTAAAATGGAATGAAGAAGCACAAGTGAGAACTTTGGCTGCTGGGTCAGCTCGAATGGCATCCTAGCATAAGGTGTTACAACTTAAGAGTCTTTCAAAACATCTATTTAAAAATAAATTTCCTAACATTTCCCATGGCAATAGAGGATATTAAAACTGAAGCCTACATTTAGCAACTAGGTGTATTTTATTAATAGGGAAATGAAGTTTTAGGTCATTCCCAATAGGAA